CACCAAACAAAGAGTCTCGTGATTCTCCGTCTGCGATGTACAATTCTTGCCATTCCGGTCGTCAAACACGCGACTGTTGCATAACAAACTGGCATTAAAGTGGGCGTCCGTCGATTTTTGCTGTACGTTGCAAGCGATGGTGCGATTAAAACGGATTTCTGCCCTCATAAATCATTCCTCATTTGGTCATTTCAGTTCACATACAGAGGTATAAACACGATGCTGTTGTTTCCTCATCGTTTTCTCAGCTTAACAGAGTCTAAACAGCACAGTAACACAGACTTATGATGTCTGACCATTAGAAATGGTACTTTAGGTTGACATTAGACAAAGGTCATATTTCTCTCCGCTCCGCAAGCAGATCTGCCTAAACGAGGTGTTCCCATTTTTTGTCTTGTCCTTCCACCCTTCCTCAGTCAGTGCGTGGTTCCCACTAGAGAAACGCTTTGAATATAGTTTTATTTTCGTTTAGGCGGTTTTATCCAGTCAAGTCAGGTACCAACTATTCAGTTTATCTGAATGTTTTCTAGGACTAGTGGTTGTCAGCATACCTGCTCCTTCTTGACCACGGCACCTCGAGGTACTGCGCAAATGAGCGTTGTTGGAAGTCGTCTAAATCAACTTCATGACCCTTCGAGACGGTAGATTTTTCGAGACTGTACATGAGCATCGGGATTAGGGCTACTTTCAGAAGGGTGATCTTTATGTCCGTTGTTATACTCCGACCACTCTCTATGTTATGCAGCCTGTCATAATTCGTTGTGATGCCGGTCCGATACTCCGATTCACTTCAGCATCATTGTGACCGTCATTAGTCAAGACAGTTCCGAGGTACTTGAAATGGTCCATTTGGTCCATAGTACTACTGGACTGCCGGAGGCGGGGGTCGCTCTCATAATCTTCGTTTTCTTGGTATTCACTTGAAGCCTCTCTCCCATAGCGGTAGTGCAGACGCTTTCAGTGAGGTCTGTAGACCACCTGCGAAAGTCCCTGAGCAGCAACACGTCATCGGCATTGTCAGGAGTATCTCGAGCGGCCTTGCTGACAAACGGTCAATTCCTCTTTATTTGGGACGCCGCCATAATGATGAATAGCAAACGAGAGTGCACCTCGCCTTGACAAACTCAACTGGTTTTTTGAATCGGTTCGAAAATGATCTTTCAGTTCTAATGGCGTTTTATAGACTGTCTCTCAGGTTCACAATCGACCGTAGTGACAAATAACATGCCACATCGTCTGGCGATGAACTGAATCTCAGGTTGCGTCGAAGTCCAGAAACTTCGCGTGCCAGGAAGTTGGACGGTTCAGCAGAAAGATGCTGTCCGTGCATCAGTGCCATAGATCGTCTCGAACCATTAACGAATTCCCTCATTCTTCCAAGACTGAATCGCACGAAGACCTTCACGAGTAAGGGCAGAGAGTGACTTCTCGACAGCTGATATATTGGGTGCGATTCACACTTGAAAATTCAGGATTATCACGCCTTTCTTACATCTGACGATCACTGACTCTCGCCAAAATGCCGTCAAAAGCCAAGTGGATCCGCAGGAGAAGGTTCTCGCCTTTGCTTTTCGGTATTTTCGTCCCAATCCCATCGCGTCGTGTTCATAGACTTCGAGCTTCGGCAGAGTTGCATCGCCCCTAGGATTTCCTCGATAAACTGAGGTGCGCAGTCAGCAATTCTTTTCCAACTTGTACTGCCATTTAGAGATTCGCTGGACAACCAAGCCGGTTGAAAAGTCCTGTGAAATGCTCAGTTGATGGTTTCCAACGGACATCAAGCCCTTACAACTGTTCATTGGGCTTGCTTGTAACAAACCGGTGCTATACTTTTGTTTTTATTGACCTAGTTATTCCAGTTCCATTGTTCTAGCGCCTTTTCCAACTCCACTTCGACGTCCAGCCACGTTGGCCTGTCCTTGAGGTAGTTGCCGGTTTCACGAGAACGGGATCCTCCCTTTTATTCGTTATCGTCAGGGCCATGTAATGGTGCCAGCTTCGCCGCATTTCTTCACTGGAGAAAACTTAAAATTTCTGTCGTGACTCGGCGTGCCTCGTTTCCCTGCTGCTGGAGTCAATAGCTTTGGACGCGGGGTCGACGATGCTTCCTTCTTTCATGGCGGTTATAGAACAGTTCTTGGTCTTAGGAGATGGTGGTGTCGTTCGTAGCAGCGAATTTCCTGCAGACTTCTACCTGGAACTCCTCGCGAGCAACTGCACCCTTGAAATTCTCCGTGCTAAGGCGGGCTTTCTGCCATTCACGGAATGTCCCTCCAGTTTTAGTAGACGGAAGCGAGCTATGCGACCGGTAGGAAATGATCATTTCACATGTCCCATGATCCGTTTGACTTCTGAACTAACCTCCTAACGCAGTCATGTCTGGTGATGCTTCCTACGTTGCGAAAACAGTGTCTTTCGAATGATGCGCCCGTGCGCGTGGAAAAGTCTAACAGGTGGTAGCTGTCGTTATTGGCAACATCTCTGCTATGTCGACCTAACACACGGGTCCATATGTCATGGTCGGCGCGAGTCTGGGCACTGAGGTCACCGCTGATGATCGATAATTGACGTGGAGGAAAAAACCAAGAACCTCAAGAAGACAGAGGTAAAACTGGACCTTCCTCGGGTGCTCTGCAACGTTGATCGGGGCATACACAGAGACAATGTTAGTCTTAAAGTGTCTAGTTGCGAATCGGCAAACGATGACAAAGTGGCCCGTGTATTCGAGGGATAACGAGGCGTTAATTGTAACTCTTAGCGAGAGGCATGGGTGGCAGACCAGCAGAACTGTCCTCCTTCTTCAAGTCGCTGATGTCTATGGTAGGTAGGTGGGTTTCTGGAAGTCCCAAAATGTCCAGCTTGTATAACGCTGCAGCGCGAATGACTCGTCCAGTTTGCCATAGCCGTTCAACGTCCGTACATTCCAGCGACAAGTCGCTTTTTCTCGCAGGAGTTGATTTTCTACTAGTCAGATTTTTTGCAAAAACGCTCGAACCGCTACGAAAATGCAAACCCTTCATCGTACAGGTGTCGTAAGCTGCTTAAGGTACAAAGAAATCACACATACATATATACATACATACATACATGCATGCATACATACATACATACATACATACATACATACA